GGATCCGGAATTCCAACTTCCTTAAGAGAGAACTTTTCCCATACATCATCTAATATTACCACATACCTCACTCTTGTCATTATTTCCATTAATGCTGCTGCTCGCATCTTCACCTCTTCATCGTCTCGAAGTCTTTCACCCATCGCATTAGCAATCTTCTTTTGTAATTCAAAAACATTGAGAGGATGTGATACAGTAACCCAGATCACTTTTTGAAATCTAGTCTCCTTTTGTAAATCATTGTGGAGATTCTTCATGATTGTAGTCTTTCCAACTCCACCAATCCCACAAATTCCGATCATTCCAACCTTATCACCCATCAAGTACCTCCAAATTTCTTCTTTGGTAGAAATTTCCCCCACTAAATTCTCTGTTGGAATTATGTTTCCATGAGCTGGAGCCCTATCAATAACAAGGCCTTCAGGAAAACTACATTTATCAAGCAGTTCCTTCACCATATTAATTTTTCTACAAACAAGTCTGTCAAGACAAGCACGCTTGTACCACTTGACTCCCTGCACCTATTCCAAAAATGCTCGCAGTTTAACATTGATCTCTTCTGCTTGCTTAAGCCATTCTTGCACTTGTTGTCTAACCATTTGTCCCCCGCGAGCCTCTGCTTCTTGTATTCTTGATCCTATATCTTGTTTCTGGCTAGTTAGACTGTCCAATTTTCTTCTCAACTCATCCACATCATCATTAAAATTTCTATGTTGATCTATACAGTTGCAAGTTGGAGTACCACAAATGCAACTCAATGCACCGAATATTGCCCCTACTATTTCCGCTGCCATTAAAAAAGGTCCTAAAACATAATAAATAATGTGAATAAATATATACTTCTTCTAGTGTTCGTCAACAGAAAATTAGAAACCATAAATAATCAATAAAAAAAAGTTAAATTAAATTACCAATTCCAACAATATATAGGAGCTATAAAACCATACATTACCAAATGATATGGGAAACAAACAACTATATATACATAATGTAAATGAATAAGCTAGTTGAAATACTAATTTGATTCCTTTTGCCTCCTTGTTTGGCAGCTGATATATTCATCCAGTTAAATAAATATGCTAATGGCTTAAATAATGAACAAGGTTCCAAACTCTCACTAAATTCATAATTGTCTCAAAATTCTATTTTTCTCAAATAAAGCACCAAAGTAATTGAAATTCTCAAATAAAGTCACAATTAGACAAAAACTGTTAGGTCTAACATTATTAACATTAAGTGGTTATTGACTAAATATCCATTTAGAGTTGTTGATAATTGAAAAGTTCAGTTGATTATACTTGTTGTGTCGTCAAACACATTTTTTGGGAACATGTCGTCACTTTTATTATTCAAAACCAGTGTTAATTAATTGAAAATTTTCAGTTTAATTTGGGTTGGTGTTCAAAATTAGCCAAAACTGCATATTTTAAAATTTGGCTAAACATTGAATATGGTCCGTACTTTCACTAACTTCACAATTGAGATCCCAAAATTCATTACGCTCAAATAAGGTTATGAAATAAGGTCCAAATTGGACAAAATTATTATTTGTTAAATTAGTCATTAATGTGGTTAATTATTCTAATTGGTTAAATATCTAAAATGCATGATCCCTAGCCTTTTTATTTTATCTTGTAATAACCTTAAAGGTTTCGATTACCTTGAAATGCTTCTTAAACTTATTTGTTTTAATGATGTGACAATTTTGTAAGACCTATAATTAAAAATTAACTTTTTATTTTAATTACGTGACATTTATGTGCCCTTTTATAAAATAGTTGCATTATTATTTTTTAGAATGGTAACAAACAAATTATATCAATTAGTTTGAATCACTAGCCATAAAAAAATAGTTAAATCAAAAAGGAACAAAGGAAAGGTGGTATTATAGATAGTTTACAAATTCATCATCATTTATATAATAAATAAAATAAAAAATTAGGTTTCATCCAAAAAGAGAGAGAGAGAATAGGTTATTTAGGTATGTTAAGTATAATTATGGTTTTTAGTTTTGGTTTTCAAAATTCAAACAATCAAAATTAAAAACTAAAATAAGAATTAAAATTACCTGACTTAGTGGGTATAAAATATAAAATTTAAGAATGAATATCCAAAACTCTAAATTTATTCAATTTATAAAAATTCTTAATTTGATTTTATGATTTCTAAATTTTTTATTTTCAATGGTTGCAAAATTTTTAGAAACCAAAATTAAAAACTCAAAACAAAAACCATAGTATAGTTATAATTTTTGGTTTTAAAAAAATTAACTCAAGTAACCAAATATGTAGCTCTAGTTAGCACTTGAGTAGGCAAATTTTGAAACTTC